TATGATTACTGGAGTTACCTTAGGTGATAACAGCCCTTGGAATTGATCATCCACAGTGGCTACTTGGACCAACACGTCTGTAAGCAACACTATTCCATTCTTAGTAGGAAGGGAGGCTCAGTTGAGTACAGAGCCTTCTGAGTTTGGGCCGGAGGCATTTCAAGGTAGCCTCTTCTTGGTCTCTACTCATAAGCACAGGCTTAGGTGAAAAAAAGAAGAAAGAAAAAAAAAAACTTTGAATTAATGTATCTATACGATGAGACAGGTTGAGAAAAATTTTAAAACCTGTGTCAAGTTCGTTGCATTATGGTACAAACAGTGAATCAGCCTGATTAAAAAAAAGTACAATTGGTACCTTCAGGATATCATTCAATCCTATCTGTACCTAGCATTCAAGAAAAGAAATCCCGAAAAGGATTCAATATCAACACTGCAGGTATCATTCAAATTAAATTAAAAGATGAAAAAAACAGAGGTTCTGCAATGTTGGGGAACTTATTGGGGTGAAGGCAGAATTAGAAGCCATGGTTGGTACTCTATCATGGTCTAACATGAATACCCCTGCTCTCTCCACTACAGGAGGCTGATTCTCTGTAAAAAAAAAAAAAAAAAAAAAAAAAAAAAAAAAAAAAAAAGAGCAGGTAAATGCTATGCTCTTCTCCAAGAAATAATATGCTCTGTGAAAACTGAGAGAGGTAGACATGAATTAATCAGAATTTGAATAAGAATCCACTTGCTGTTCCATCTGTGAAATATTTTTCATCTTTTACAAATAAAAATCCTTAATAGAACATGTAGGATTGGTAATAAACTAGTCTTCCAAGATACCATCCCTATGTATATTGTTTTACTGCCTCTCTGCTCACTCTGCATTAAGACCTTCATTCATTCCAACACCCAAGCTACCATTTTGTAAGCAAGAGCCGTAAGTTACTGGTGGGGCCTGAGAGGGTTCATTCTGCATCAGCGTTGCATCCCCCATAAAGTTCAACACGTTGCCTGAAATATGAAAATAATCTTCCTGTTTTCCTTCAGTCTTCCAGGTAAATACTTGTGAATTTAATCAAGGAGTCAGAAAAGACAGTTGGAATCAGAAAGCAAAATGGTATCAATTACTAATATTTCCCATTCTCTGATCAGGCTTGTCTTATCTGAAGCTTGTAAAGTTGTTTAATCTTTTCCATCATCTCAGGGAAAAGAGAGCCTGGAAAGTCCTAATCATTCCACAGTAACTATCAATGGGATTTTCCATAACTATCTGGATACAAAATGAAAAGCTTAAGAAGTTGATCCAATTCTAAAACTTACTTCTCAACTTAATCATAAATATGAAGAGACAACTCATCCATATTTTCTTCAAATAACATCTGGTTGCTTGGCCAGACTGTTAATACCTGAAAGAGTTTCTGAGTTTGTTCCAATAAATCTACACTTAAAGAGCTTAAAAATGTGTTTATGCATTAAACATTCTTTTCCACATCTGACTTAGGGCCAGCGATGTGACTGTGAGAAAGAACTTTGCCAAGAACTCAGAACAAAAGGGAATAAAATTGTCTTTTAGAAGTTAAACTGTGAAACCAGCACCTATTGGAATAGGGCATAGGAATGAGAAATCACCACAAAGGGACAAAAAGTTGCTAAGCCAGCAAGATTTGGATGTGACTCCACTAAAGGTATAAAACACACATCTAAGGGCGATATTAATCATTCATGGAGTCATAGAAGAAGGGTTATTCACACAGACTTGAGCAGTACTCACCAAGGCTCCATTCCAAGTGGAAGGGGTCAGGAGCAGCACAGTTGGGGTAGCACAGAACCACCACCAAGTCATTTCTATTCTGAAAGTGAATGCATCACTTTGTCTTTGCCTGATTACCATTAAACCTTACCCTGGGCTGGCCTGTCTTATTCATGATGGAAAACTCCACATTGAGCATACATCCCAACCTAGGGCAGGCAATCATTAGACGTTTGCTCAATGAATTTGCTCCAACTCTTTGCTCACAACTTCCTGATGATAATTTGGCTCCCCCCATAGTTCTGACTACAGGGACAGTATGACCTAGTCTTGTGGATTTGAGAATTCTGGTCCTTATAACAGCGATAAAACTCATTGAAACAGACAGTTTAGCATTTGAGTTTCTTTACTCGTAGGTTGCTCCCAAAGAAAGGGACCTTGTGTGTACTGCTTGATCAAGTTTCTGAGCCTAAAGGGCTTGCAGCAGGTCTCTGGGCTATGATAACTTTACCAGGATGACGATGATAGTAGCAGTGATGGGGCCAACCTTGGCCATGAGTAGAGCATCCTGTGTGTACTATCAGACATTGTACTATATGCTTTATATACTTGAACTCATTTAATCCTCACAATAATCCAATAAATTAGGCATTATAAGCATTCCCATTTTGTAAGTGAGGATGTTGAGACTCAGAAAGCTTCCGTAACTTACCCAAAGACCCATATTCAATCTAGATTCAGATCCAGATTTATCTGACTCTAAAGCCTATTTTTTTAATTGTAAAAAAATACTACCTTTGGAGAGATGAACGGTTATCTTTCTCTTTGCCACACTCCTCTGCTTCAGCAGTGTGCTCTGGGCCATCCCAGTCCACCTTCAATATGACTATTGATCAATGCATCACTACTGTACAAGTCTTCACATAAAGTTACATAGGGTACCAATGTACCCTTGATTGGAAGTGCACAAAGTCAAGCCCTGTTGCAAGGAACAGCAACACCAATCTACCCTATGCCATCAGTACCATTAGCTTCAGGAGCCAAAAACAGGGGCCTCTTTGACTTTTTCATCTCCCTCACCATGCTTGCTACAACCCATCTAATCATTTACATGTTCCTCAATTGAATCTCTTCAAGACTTCCCTGATGCATTAACTTGCCCCCTGCTCACCATTCCCATTGCTACTACCCGTCTCTCACCTGGACCACTACGAAAATCTCCAACGTTCTGTTATGCTTCCACTCTTGCTCCACGTTACTCCATTTTGTGTCCACATCGTGGGAATGCAACCTTAAGGACACATTCAGGGATCTTTTCATAATCTAATCATGAATTCCACAGTTTAAAACTCCTTCAGTATGACCCCTCGCCATATCCTGTGCTTCAGCCCCCTTCGTGAGTGGTCTGTGGTTTTTGGGATTTACACAGCTCTATACACTCTAGGATGGCACACACACACCCAGCACAGATACACATACATCCCCCCAGACCAGCATTCTCTCCACATCTCCCTGGGCAGCCTGTACAGGTGTTTTAGAGCTCACTCTCATTTTAGCTCCTCCAAGAATCCTGGATTAGGTGCCCAACTGAGGTCTTCTCATCACACCCTCATCTCACCCCTCATACCACTGTACGGGATTTTTAAAATTATTATTTATGTGACTTCACCTTCAGACTCTGACCTACCAGAAAGCCAGGACCCACTTTATTTATACACAGTGACTAACATGAACAAATACTTGTTAAGCAAATGAATGAATGAATGTGAACCTGGTATACCATAGGCATCAGAATCCACCCAGCGTCCTCAAGTATCAGCTGTGTGATCTTAAGAAAGTTGCTTAATCTCCCTAGTCCTCAGAGTTACTGTCTGTACAATGGAGATCATAAAATCTATACTTTCAAGTTATTGTGAGCTTTAAACTAAATCACATAATATGTGTGAAAGCCTAGGTGTTATGCCTCATATATAATAAGTATTCAACTGTTGGTTGTTATTATTATTGCTGTGCCCTTCAAGACCCAACTGAAAACATTTACATTCTTGAAAGACTTTGCATCAATTGCCAGCCCACCATGATGACTGTGCTGCTCCATGCTACATTTCATAATGTATTACTTTGCACCCTTGAATATATTGTTTGAAAGGGTCTGCCTTTTCAATACTTTCTTCAGGTCACCTAATACTTTGACAAATGCTTTCGGATGAAATAATATTATCAAGTTCAGTTTTGTTCTATAAACTAATGGTGCCTTTTTGATATAGATCTTACAGTCCACTGGAGTCTTAAACCAGGGAAGTTCATTTTGCAACTCCTAATGATGCAAATACCATAAAGAGAGGCCAGTGAGAGGAACACGCTTAGGAGGAATGGCAGGGCTCTGGAAGGGAGACAGGTGGTGATCTCAAATTAGAAATCAGGTCTTAAAGGGACCACAAGCAAGATGAGGTTTCAAAAAAAGGGTGTCCTTTGTCACAACAGATATGAAAAGGTGAACAGTCAGACTAGTGCTTAAAAGAAACTTACAGCTTTGCCCCTGTAAGGAATATTCTGCAGTCATTAAAAATAGGAGACCAGCTAATAAAATGGCAAATAAGAACATGTAAGAGACGATGTTAAGTTTAAAAATATTTAGATAATATAAGGCTTTTGATCATAGTATGTAAAATTTGCTTTAAAATAAACAAAAAAATCTAAAGGGAGTAGACGAAAATTTTAATAGCTGTAACAGGTGGATAAGTTTGTGGGTGAAATTTTCTTTTATCAATTTCCCACACCGTTTTTAGTCTTGCCATATTCTTTTAAAATGTAAAAAATATTTCTCAGAAAATAGATATTCTGCGTGCCTTTCTCGCAGATGGCTCCAGAAAGAAATGAGATAGTGCAGAAGACACGCCCTAGCTGCAGGGGGCTCCATGAGCCCGGAGCCTGACTCAGCAGCGTGCGAAAAGGGGCGAACCTGGGCACGGGGCGCCCTGCAGCTCGATCCCACCCTGGATGGGTCCCTTCTTTCCCTGCCACCGCCTCGCTGGGCGTTACTGAGCCCCCGCCAGCAGGTCACCCTCGGTGGGCGCTGCGCCCCTCCCAGCCCCGGACTATGCTGTCCCCAAGCGACCCTCCTTGCGAAGGATCCCTCCGGGAGAAGGGAGGAGCCGCAAGGGGCCGGAAAGAGAGTTCCAGGACGCAGGCCCCCGCGACTTCGCCCTTCCTGGTCCTGCGCGGCCCCCCACCCCCGCCCTTGCGGGCCGGTGCTCGGTACCTCTTGCAGGGGATCAGCGCCTTCCGCTCGTCCAGCACTCGCACGCGCTGGTTGAGCCCGTCGTAGGAGAGCAGGGCGCGGCTGTTGCGCCCGCTGCTTTGCTGGTACACAACCTGGCGCCCCTCCCACTGCTGCGGCGCCTGGCAAGGGCGCGGGGCTCCCGGGGAGCCCACCGCCCCCAGGTCGCTCAGGGTCCAGGCCCAGAGGCCGCCCAGCAGCCAGGCGCCCAGCGCGCCCTGAACGGTGCGGAGGGGAGCGCGTCCTGCCATCGCGGTCGACCTTCCCCCAGAGAACGAGCCCGAGCCCAAGGGGGCGCTGAGGCGTCCGGGCGCAGAGTGGCTCCCGCCAGCTCCCTCCGCACTGTGCCGTGAGTGTGGTCTGGACCAAAGTGCTTCCGGCCACCGCAGTGGCCTCTGCCGCTGTTGAGATGAGGACGCGCGAGTCCCGGGAGCCGGGACCAGGGCCCTGGGAAGGCTCCAGTGACTCGCGCCGGAGCGATTTCTGCCCGGGCCACTGCCTGCTGCCGCTTCGGTTTTCACTGCTCACTGCTGCCAACAGGAAATGCAGTGGCAGTGGTGCCACTAGCATCCTAGGAGGCATCCTGTTTTAAGAGGGGGATGGGGGAGACTGTGCTGAGAAGTGTGTTTCTCCGCTAAGTTCAGTGTTCAACACACTGATGGGCAATTTCAAAGTCAAGCTGCTGCGGTTACTGTGCCCCCACACACATTGCCCCTGGACAACACCGCAAACTTCTTCCACTAAATTAAAAGTGGAAAAATGGGTCTTTTCCTGAAGAAATGATACTAGCTATTCATGATGACTGTTTCTCACACCCCATTCCCAGTGAAGAGTCTAGGAAACTAGTGGACAGCCCCTTGCAGTGGGCCTAGGACTCACGGGCGTTGCCTCATGGTCACACGCTGCAGTGAGGCTGCTCCTCCCATCGCCTGGCAACACCACCAGTCCAGTGGTTTGGGTGTCTGGGGGGAGTTAGCTTCTTCAAGAACAAGGTTAATTGGGCTTACATATATGTAATGTTAGGACTTATAATATGGAATGAGTGGGGCTCACACATCTGTATTCCCAGCTACTTAGGAGGCTGAAGTGGGAGGATGGGTTTGGTAGTTACAGGTTGCAGCGAACTATGATTATGCCACTACACTCCATTCAGCCTGGGTGACACAGTGAGACCGTGTCTCCAAAAATATAGTAATAAAATACGAAATCGAGAAAAAAGAAAGCAACTAAAAAAATGTGTGGCGTCTTTCCGTTTAAACTGCATTTCAAGGATGATTAAGATTGAGCCAGGTGAAAGTGGGAGATAAAATTCCTGAATGAAGGACATGAAAACACGACAAAATGGGAATAATACTGGGGTTCACAGACAAGGCAGAGGAGTACTCTGAAGCCATAGAACTCATTTTAAGGATTTTGTCATTAATACTGAGGATCTTGGGAACTGTCAATCAATGTAAAGCTAGGGAGGGGCATCACTGGGCATACGCCCTGGAAAGCCCACTTAGGCAACAGAAGGGGTAAGGTCAAAGGGAACGCAGGGAGAGGAAGAAGTTACTGTTATAATCCTGGAAAGAGATGATCCTGACTCAGCTAAGGCAGTGGGAGTGGGCATGGCGAGGGCAGAAGACAGTTGGGAGCTGTAGAGGAGAATTTCAGCTCAGAGGGAGAGGTTTCTGGTTCGGACCACTGGGAGTCCAGTCCTGAGTGAGGAGAGACTATCGGTTCATTTTAGGATTGGTTGATTTTGAGCTGACTGTGGAATATTCAGCTGGAAATATTCAAAAGACAGCTGGATAAATACTTCCAGAAACCGGCAGAGCTTTTGGATTAGGAAGCCATGGATACATAGGTGGTAACTGAAGCCAAAGAGCAGAACAGTGATTTCTGGAGCAATTCCTCACTCCCCGCCTCCACCCAGCAAAGAAATGTCTGGCATTATCTGGAGACATTTTTGATGGTCACAATGCAGATAGGGAGGAGGCTACCGCTGGCATTTTGTAGGCGGTGGCTAAGGATGCTACTAAACTTCCTCTAATGCACAGTACAGCCACCTTTCCCTGTCCAAATGAAGACTTTCCTGGCCCCAAATGAAGAATTATCTGGCCCCAAATATCAAAAGTGCTGGGGTTGAGAAAACCTGGAGTTCAGGGGAGTGTTGAGTATGAGAAGAAGGATCAGGATGGAGCCCTAGAGAGCTCCAGACATTTAAAGGATGGGCAGAGAACAGGCATTTGAGGAGACCAAAAGGAGTCACCGGAGAGAAGCCACCAAATGAGGCAACTTTCCGAGCCTTGTTAAATAAATGTAAGGCACAGAGAGAATGGACTGAATGCTGAAGTAGGGTGTTCTAGAATCACAGCCTCCCTGGAAGGCATGAAGAGGAGGAATAGTTGACAAGTTCTCCTGATGCTTCCTTCCCTGCTGCCCTCTCTCTGTAGAAGCACTAGAGACACTACCAATGGGGCCAATGGAGCAGGCCAATGGAGCTTTTGGAAGAAGAGCTCTTCATTTCCTATTATCTTTTCTTTTTCTTTCTTTTTTCTTTTTTGAGATGGAGTCTTACTCTGTTGCCAGGCTGGAGTGCACTGGTGCGATCTTGGCTCACTGCAACCTCCACATCCCAGGTTCAAGCACTTCTCCTGCCTCAGCCTCCCAAGTAGCTGGGATTACAAGTGTTGCCACCACACCCAGCTAATTTTTGTACTTTTAGTAGAGACGGGGTTTCACCATGTTGATCAGGATGGTCTCTATCTCCTGACCTCGTGATCCACCCACCTCCGCCTCCCAAAGTGCTGGGATTACAGGCGTGAGCCACTGCGCCCGGTGTCCTCTTACCTTTTCTTAAAGGGAATGCCTCAGAAAACATCAGAGAAGCCCAAGAGACTCTGTGACTTGGCACTTTACTCCTCTGGTAAAAACTCTGGCTAACAGTCTTTTTCGCTCAGCAAAAGGATTAGACTTATTGGAGTTTTACTATTAGAAATAGCTTGAGATGTCATCCAGGCTATCCTGTTGTGTGATATTTTACTAGCCTGGCTTGGCATCTTCGGAGGTTGAGATCTGTTCTATAGGAATTTAGACTACTTTTCTAGAGTGGCTTGGCAGTGTAAGAACACCCTGGGATTCCCCTAAATAAGAACCAGACTCTTTTGATGAACCCTGAAATGTATTGGTCTCATTTATTCTTTTAACTTACTATGTTTAATTCATGTTCCTTAAAAAATAAGATAACGCATCTGAAGTTCTTCACTCAGTGCCTTGACCATTGTAATCGCCCAGTAGATGTCAGCTGTGCTTGTTGCTCCCTTGGCTGTTTTAATCCATAGTCCTTAGTTTTAATTCTTAGTCCAAAGTAAACTAATTTTGTAGGTTTAAGCTTTGGAGAGAAAAACTGTGCGTGTTAAATTCAAGTTAAACTGTATTTTTAAAGATTAATATTCACAAGACATGTTTCCATATTGCTGATGCCCTAGAAATTAGCATATAGCAGAAGTCTTACCACCTGAAGATTGATACACACTTAAAACAATAAAACCTCCCTTTTCTGTGGATAGCTGAGCCAGAAATTGGAATTACTACTTCTTCTTTTTTTTTTTTTTTTTTTTTTTTGAGACGGAGTTTCGCTCTTGTTACCCAGGCTGGAGTGCAATGGCGCGATCTCGGCTCACCGCAACCTCCGCCTCCTGGGTTCAGGCAATTCTCCTGCCTCAGCCTCCTGAGTAGCTGGGATTACAGGCATGCGCCACCATGCCCAGCTAATTTTTTTTGTATTTTTAGTAGAGACGGGGTTTCACCATGTTGACCAGGATGGTCTCGATCTTTTGACCTTGTGATCCACCCGCCTCGGCCTCCCAAAGTGCTGGAAATAAGATAAAAGAGAAAGCAAACCATGCATACTCGCATTCCATAGTACACAGCTTCTTATTCAACTCAAGCAACAGTCTCTGAGCACATCAAAAACCAAGATTTTAGGCTGCTGAGGTGGAAATCCTTTGGTATGAAGGATTAGAGCAGGGAAGACCTTTCAGACTGTAGTGCCAGGTGTTTTCTCCTGGGTTCCACTAATGCCGGAAAAGGGAACAGGGAGTTAGAAGGAAGAGAGAATGTCGGAAGACATTTCTCAAGCTGGAAGATGCTAGCACACCTTACCCCAGCTCTGTTAAGTTTCTGGAGCAGAGACAAACCAAATGCCATACTGGAAAAATGTCAGCCCAAAGTGTCTACTAGCAACAACAAACCACACTCCACACAACGAAGGGCGGAGTGGGGTGACTTATACAACGTGTCCCTGCTGTTCCGTCATTCACTGCACTCTCCCTGCCCCGCAGGACAGTGTCCCAATTGTCCTCAGCGCTCCTCGTGCCACCTACTGGAGAAAGCAACTATGTTTTAGAATTAGAGGGCAGCAGAAGTTCCCATTTCCCCCCAACTCTATACTTGGGAAAAGTCTAAGGCAGAGGGAGCAAAGTTCAGTTTTATTCCAAAGACTGTCTTTCTCTTTCTTGAAATTCTCTCCCGCACCCTCTCGTATCCGGTGTCGAAAACAACTGCCAGAGGTTCTTTTTCTTGGTCCGAAGAAAAAAGATCGGCCAGACGAAAAAGGAGGGACTTTCGGAGGAAAGCAGGCTTCCAGCCCTGGGCTGCAGCCCGGAGGGGATGATGTCACCGCTTCTGCATCGAGGGGCCTAGGGGTGGGGCGGCCGAGGGGGAGCCCGCGCCGCGCCTGCAGCTGCCAAGGGAGCGTTCTGAGCCCACGTCAGGGGAGGTGTCGGGATAAATAGGGTCCCGCAATGGCCGTGGCTGGCTGCGCTCCGAGCTGCGGAGTCCGGGACTGGAGCTGCCCGGGCGGGTTAGCGCCCCAAAGGCTGAGAGCTGGCGCCGCTCGTGCCGTGTGTGCCGGACGGCCGAGATCCGCAGCCGGACCCCGCAGCCCCGCTTTGCTACCCACTAGAGTTTGGGGAAAGAAACTCTCTTGCGCCCCGGAGAACTTCCTCCTCGGGGAAGGGACAGAGAGAGACGCGGGTGGCAGGAAGAGAAGGGCGTTTTCTGTCTGCCGGGGTCGTAGCGCGGGAAGGCAGTGCCATGTTCCTCTCCATCCTGGTGGCGCTGTGCCTGTGGCTGCGCCTGGCGCTGGGCGTGCGCGGCGCGCCGTGCGAGGCGGTGCGCATCCCCATGTGCCGGCACATGCCCTGGAACATCACGCGGATGCCCAACCACCTGCACCACAGCACGCAGGAGAACGCCATCCTGGCCATCGAGCAGTACGAAGAGCTGGTGGACGTGAACTGCAGCTCCGTGCTGCGCTTCTTCCTCTGTGCCATGTACGCGCCCATCTGCACCCTGGAGTTCCTCCACGACCCCATCAAGCCGTGCAAGTCGGTGTGCCAACGCGCGCGTGACGACTGCGAGCCCCTCATGAAGATGTACAACCACAGCTGGCCCGAGAACCTGGCCTGCGATGAGCTGCCTGTCTATGACCGTGGCGTGTGCATCTCGCCTGAAGCCATCGTCACTGACCTCCCGGAGGGTGAGGACTGAGGAAGGATGGAGGGAGGCAAGGAGGCTCCCGGGGCCGGGGCTGCCACTTGAGGACTGGATGGTCTCACCTAAGGCTGTCAGGGGCTTCTGAGGCTTGTAGGAGGTGGGAAGGAGTGGGGGAAACATTTCCTTCAGAAAAAGTCTTGTTTCCCCTTAGGACTTTTAGGAGCTAGCGAAGAGCATTGCACCCCATAAAGAAAAAAAAAAAAGATTTTGCTTACAAAGGGAGCCGTCGACAATGTTTGCATTTATAGCAATAAGAGAAATGATCATAGCAGTGAACAGGTGTTGCTATGTGTCTGAGAAAGTGTTAAACACATTACACGTTATTCACTCATTTAATGCCCAAAGTAATCTCACCAGGCAGGTGCCAATACTTGTTCCATTTAGTGCTACTTCTTAAAAGGTTTTTGTTGTTACTGTTTTTTTTTTTTTTTTTTTTTTTTTTTTTTTTTTTTTTTTTTTCTGAAAAAGCAGCAATAGTCATTGAGTCCCACCAGGAGTGAGATTTGTAATTGCAGTTGCCCTGGAAAATTGTGAGGTCTGTTTCATGGTCATTGACCTGGAGCCAACTACTGAGGCATTTTAGTTAACCCGATCTCTGCCTCCACTTCTTTCCTTTCTCTTTGGTCATTTGACTGCTTTTCTAGGAAGAAGAGGTTTAAATTCACTTCTTAAAATGAAACCTAGGAATGTTTTTGCATTCTTTTATCCAGGCATCCTCTGACCCAGGTTACCCTACATTTAAAGAGACTATGATATTGTTGTGCTGGAATCTCTGAAGTTATACCTCAGAGCATGGCCCTAAACATGAAGGAGGAGTGGTTAAGTGAATTTGGTAAATTGAAACTCCTCTATAATTCAGAGTTTTAGAAAAGAATATATTTCTTGTTTAAATTTTATAACTAATAGAGGGTTATGCTTGGTTTTGGTTGTATACCTCTGAACTGTTTCTGCACTGCAGGATATGAGGTGAGCATTTGGAAATACACTGGTTATTTTGATTAATGTAAACTGTCAACTTTGAAAATCAACATTTTGATATGACTTTGGAAGAGAGTGATGCGATTTATCCAGTTTGGCTGTATATACCAGTGAAGTTAAGTGGATGTACATTCACATCAGGTTGTGCTTGGATAGGCAAATATTCGCCCAAAGGACTTCTTTCCTAAGCCCTGGATTCATTATGAAAGCAGAAGTCAACAATCACATGCCATTTTTACTATTAAATACTATTCTTTTGTGATGCTGTTAGTCGATATCTTCAGAGCGCTCCTTATTCCAGCTGGGTAAACAGACCAAATTACCAGCCACGCCCATGTGACCGTGTTTATGTTTCAGATGTTAAATGGATAGACATCACACCAGACATGATGGTTCAGGAAAAGCCTCTTGATGTTGACTGTAAACGCCTAAGCCCCGGTGAGTTCTTTCTTCATGGAGGCTCCCTCTACTTCTGCCTAGAGTGATTTCTGTGCTCTTTCCAACTTTCTGCCTCTCTTTTGCCTTTTTTAGATCGGTGCAAGTGTAAAAAGGTGAAGCCAACTTTGGCAACATATCTCAGTAAAAACTACAGCTATGGTAAGTCATCTGTTAAAGCCATTTACTTTTGAGACTCAGTTCATTACAAAGCTGGAATCTCAATAAGGTTGTTCTCACTAAAGCTACTCATAGAGTAAAGAAAACAAAAAGTCGATTATTTTTCTAGTTAATTATGGGGATTCTATTAATACATGGCACAATAACAACTACAAAATATCTTGTTTTTCTGGACAAATCAAGTGAAAACAAAGGAAATGACCCAGGTGATAATAATTACATGCATCAGATTAAAAGTTTGGCATCTTGATCCTCCTTGCCTTGGTAAAAAGTGCTGCTCAGCCCAGATGGCACACCCTACCTGCCCTCTTCCTGCGGGAAGAATGGGAGAATGATCCATGGATCTGATTATCTGAGGGTCAGGGAATTAAGGCCCATAGGCCCAGAGTATTAAGATTTGCCTGCATATCCTTTAATATTTAACATCTTAAAGGAAGTTGGAGAAAAAATGTTAATCACAAAATCCTATGGCTAAACTATTGAAATAGTTTAAGTGCCCTCCTCTCTCATACTTGAAAGAACCATTCAACTTTGTCTTCCAAGAATATGTCCATCAATCATGATTTTTTTTTTTTTTTTTTTTTTTTTTTTTTTTGAGAGAGAGAGTCTTGCTCTGCTGCATGCAGTGGTGTGATCTCGGCTCACTGCAACCTCTGCCTCCTAGGCTCAAGCCATTCTCCTGCCCCAACCTCCTGAGTAGCTGGGATTACAGGCATCGCCACCATGTCCAGCTAGTTTTTGTATTCTTGGTAGAGATTGGGTTTCACCATGTTGGCCAGAATGGTCTTGACCTCCTGACCTCTGGTGATCCTCCCGCTTCAGCCTCCCAAAGTGCTGGGAGAACCAGCAGGCATGAACCACCATGCGCGGCCTGAAATGTTTTAAGTAATTTTAATTTCACTATTGTCATCTGAAAGTAAATTGAATAAAGTATGTTCTTTTTAAATTTGTTTTTTTTTTTTTTAGATGTCTGTTTGGGCTGGCTACTTTATATTTCATTGCATCTCTTAAATTATTTCTGGGGAAATAACATAAAGTGGTTTTGGGGAAAATGCTTATTTTGTTTGCTGATTTAGCTTTCCCTTGAAATTTTATATCAGTAAGAAACTTTGGATATATATCAGACATGAAAGTAGGAGGATCACAGCAATATAAATATCTGAAAAAAATAAGCTCTTACAGAACTATCAGATTTAAGAATCATATGTAGCCAATGTGGGTAGTTCAACTACAAAAAATAGTTTATCTTTTCCAGTAGCTTTTTTTCTTAAAGCCTGATCTATGTAGATACCATCCTAATCTGATTTACTTAGTCCCTCATCTGCCAAGATCCAGGCTTAAGTACTAATCTGAGTTTCATGTCACGTTGCTCTCTGCAGTGTTATGGTCTTGGTACAACCTTGATGATGAAATCATTTTGCATGCAAGTCCTTTGGTGTATTCATAAACTGGTTTCCTGAAATGGAATTCATGACAGACCCATGTTAGGCTAATTACAACTCTATGGGAGTCAGTAACTGCAAGAGACCACTGAAACCAGCATTTAAAACTTGGTCAGAGACAGAGGCATCTATAACAGTTCCGTCTCTGCTCATAATGGGTCTACTTTGTCAGTCTGTGAAATTAAAAGATTGAGAATGGTAGTCCCCAGAGACTCCCTCCAGTTCCAAAATGTTATGACTGACAACTAACTCTATAAAACAGAAGAAGCTCAAGCATCAGATGGATGATTGAAGAGATGCAAACTGTAAGATGACTTCTGAATCTGAAAATATATAATCCTCATTTCAAATCACCACAAGGAAGAATACAAACAAATAAATGTTTCTGTGAAATTTTTACTGACCTAAAGGCAGAGCTAGACTAAAACCTACTTTTCAGTTTGCTTTCCCATCTTGCAGTATACTCCAGAACATTTAAGACAATGTTGACAATATAGGACGCCATCCATCTAGCATATGACTGTGGGCTTTTTGCCTACACTCAGGCCACTTGGACATAACCATAATTACAGGATTGATTCTTTAAGAGAGGCTCAGAAGTTGGCATGAATACACCATCCCTAGTTTTTCCCCCAAACCTTCAATAACACTTTTATCTATTTTTAAATTGCAGTTATTCATGCCAAAATAAAAGCTGTGCAGAGGAGTGGCTGCAATGAAGTCACAACGGTGGTGGATGTAAAAGAGATCTTCAAGTCCTCATCACCCATCCCTCGAACCCAAGTCCCACTCATTACGAATTCTTCTTGTCAGTGTCCACATATCCTGCCCCATCAAGATGTGCTCATCATGTGTTATGAATGGCGCTCAAGGTAGGCACAAAGAGGCAGAAGGAACGGTCTGCATGCTGCTTAGAAAAACCTCAATCTCACTTAGCAGTCATGGTTTAAATATGTAACAAAAATATGCCAGTGGCTCTCTCTCTTTTTCAAAATAGTTTACCAGATGCCTCTGTTTGAATAGCATGTATTCTAAATATCAATTAATTCCTCACAGAATGAAGGAAAAATCCAACTATGCATATTTGAACAGAGTCTTTAAAAATCAGTTTTAAAATTCTTTTAGTGATTTCAAATTTTATAGGCAAGTCAATTATTTTAAGGAAGAACAATTATTTTCAGATTTTTCAGACAATTTTAGAGTGGCAAATACTGAATTTTCTACAGATCAAGTAAATAGGCATTTGAGAGTATAGTTTCCCATGTTTTCCATATAAACATGTCATAATATTTGTTTGATAAAGTATTGCACAAACACACACACACACACATACACACAAACATTAAGGTGATTTCTGAATCGAATATGTGATTTTTAATTCAAATCATAAGGCAAAGTATAAACAAATAAATACATGTTTCACACACACTCATATACATACACACAAATTCTAGCAGGGTGTGTTTGTCTCCCTGGCCTCTCTTTCCTTCTCATTTTTTTGGGTATTGGTACATTCTTTGTACTATAAAGTCAAACTCTTGAGCCCAGCCTCCATGTTGGGTCCCATAAGTGGATGCAGTATAGTTCTCCAGCAAAATCACTCATTTTTACATAACAAGGCATCCCTCTCATTCTCTGTTGTTAATACTCATCTGTTTCTCCTAGATATAGCCCAAGACTCTGTTCCTCCAAAAGGAAACCACAAACATTCTTTGGGAACTAACCTCACTTTTCTGTATTCTACCAGTACTTGGGTACCCTCCTTACACCATATCACCTTGTGTTCTCGGCTTTAAAGCCAGACTCTGCTTACGTCTTTTCTCCCTAAAGAAGCAATCAGTGGTTCTGGACTCATCTCTACCAAGGTGTTTGCATCTGCTGCAGTGCTAGAGATGGAAGTTGGGGATATCAGGTTGCTAGTCATTACATTCTAGCTGGAGAGATGCATGAGCTATAACCCATCCCAGTAAAAATATTTTTGGATGATTGGTATTTATGTCCTCACAAATGATCCTAATAAATTGGTAAGAATATAGAAAGATCATTGTGAAAATAAGAGAGGAAATCTGCCTCATGAGAGCTGCAGAACTGGTATAAAGCTACACTTGTTAAAACTATGTGACGCAATAGTAGATGTAAAGATAAATGAAACAGGAAAAACTCTTGAAACAGATTTTAATGCATAAAATATAGCTTTTCATTATGAAGGAAATATGGCAAATCAATAGAAAATGAATGTATTATTTGATAAATGTTGAAAATATTCTTATTTATAAAAATAAATTTTTAACTTTATTCTGTACTATAAAATAAATTTCAAATGGATTAAATAGATCAATATTCTAAGAACTTTTTAAAAGGATAAAATTAGGTGAGCAAGTTATATCTGAAAAGCAAAGTAATTTGTAAACATAAAAGTAATGTAAGAAATTACAAGGAAACATATCAATACACATATTTGACCACATACTATTGTACACATAAAAATCACAAATAATGATAGAAAGGCAAATAAAAATTGAGAAAAATACTGCAACAGATATGAAAAAATAATAATCATGCTCTATAGAGTTCATAAAATTAATATTTAAACATTGAGAGCATGATATAGAAATATGTAGATAAATTTATAAAGAGAAGTTCCAGAATACAAATTGTAGGTAAACATTTAAAAATGATCTCCTTAATTCAAAATCCAAATAAAAACAAGATTTCACTTTCATCTAATTCTTAATGTTAGTGAACTGGATGAAAGTGCAACCATTTTGAAAACAACTTGGCACTATTCATTTAAAATCTTTTTTAAAAATAGAGGCCCTTTGACTCAGTTATTCTATTTTAAAAATTTGTATTAAGGAAATAATAAACCAGTGCACACTACTATATACAGGGTTATTCAATGCAACACTGGTAATCATAGCTAAGCAAAAAAGGAGTTTAGCAATAAAGACATGGCTAGATATATTGTGGCTATCCATATTCATATTATTGTTATATTTTTGAATTATTCTAATTATATCAGAAAATGTATATAATATAATGACAAAAGGAAATTTGCAGATGATCTAAATACATAATGTGATCTACAAATAAATATTGTTACAAGGAGGAATGAAAGAAAACAACAATAAAATATAAAGGATATGTGGATTATGAGATAAAGCATTATTGGATAATTTTTTAATAATTTTTGTATTTTTAGCTTTTTACTTTTGTAATAAAAAGCTGCTTATTAAGATAATTTTTTTTTCAGGATGATGCTTCTTGAAAATTGCTTAGTTGAAAAATGGAGAGATCAGCTTAGTAAAAGATCCATAGTAAGTATCACGAGCAACACTGTGAAGAAGGTTGTAGATGCATGTAAAGGATTTTTTTAGAATTTGGGAATTCTTCCCATTCTCTCATCTCCAAGCTCTCATAAGAGCCAGCAATAGCAACAGGATTTGTCTTTTGAATAGACAGTTAAGAGTGTAGCTATTCTCACTCAGAATTTTTACTGGGAAACTATCATTCTACTTCAAAGGTGATTTAGTTGTGTTCAATACTAATGTGCTGGTTATTTCCAAATTAAATGAGCTTGTTTTTTAATTACATTTAATTGTTTTAGTGAACCACGAAATACTTAAGCAAACTTAATATCCATTGAGATTAAAACTGACATATATTTGAAGGGGTGGGAATGCCTAGTTCTAAAACTTACCCTATCATTATACATAGCAGAATCTTTTCCTGTGTTTATAATAATTTAAGACTTTTGTCAAAAATCATATGCAGAAAGTAATCATTTTGCTGTTAAATCTATGATTTTTGTGGTAACATCATAGAAATATTGGTAATTCAATTAGAGGAGTTAGAATAACTTTTTTGCCCAGAGATGTGAAATAATACCAATCTAAAGACATCAGGTAATTGGTGTGAAATTTTTAGAGCATCCCTTCTCTGCAAAATATTTTCATATATATTCAGAAGAATTTGTGTTTACAGGTTCACAAAACATATTGCTATTGCCTAAGCTCTCTTAGTTTGCACCAATAAAAAGTTCCAGGCAAGAGAAGAGTACGTATTAATAACTGAGTAATGGAGAATGTAGTTAGAACACAGCCTCCCCTAGTCAGTGTATGTCTGAATAAGAGAACCAAACACCATTGTGCTAAATCAGAGCTAAAATTTCATGAGCTTCTTAGGAGCATGCTTCGTTCTATTAGACAGAAAATTCTAGCAGGATTGGTTATCTGGTTTCCAGGACTATAGTAGATTGGAAGCATCAATACAGAAGGCAAGCAGACCTTGAGAACGTGGGCTTGCCAAGAGGAAAGCTTTCAATAATTATAGCTGTGGGGACCATTTACTTTTGTAGCACATTTTCCAATATACTTCAGTAAGAATTTGAAAATATCACCACCTGATAGCAACGTACAGTAATGAGTTTATTATTTTAGAATAGACTAAAATTGCATCATAGCACAGTGGAGACAATGTTTTTCTTTTCGTTGCCTTCCTAGTGCCTAGAATAATACCCGGCTAATGACTGTGCTCAATCTTTTAGATGAATGAAATATACTCTAACCAAACAAGGACATCCGTGTTAATATAAAGCAGTATCAATTCAAGTGGACTCACTTTTTTATTGTTCCTTACCTGAGCTATTTAATGAAAAATTTTTTTTGCTATCAGAGAAACTTGATGTTTCGGAATGACTCATTTCCAGTGATTCTGGATAGCTAGCATGTTAGTGGATGACTAGGCGTAGAAAGGGCCTCTGTCTTCCTTTGGATGTGGAAGAATGAAGTGAACAAACCCCTGACTTCCCAGTGACATGGGGTAAACTAATGCTAGTAACCATGAAATAAGAGCCCTTCTGAAGGCTTTGCACTGTAGGAATGCTGCGTTATGGCGCTAGCGGTCAAAAGTGCATGGGTGAGGGCCTTGGGCTCTGGAGTCAGAGTGGGTGAATACGAATCCTGGCTCTGATATTTACCAGCTCTGTGGCCTGCAAATAACCTCTTTGTGCTTGTTTCCTGCCCTTGCCAATGATGCCTATTTAGACGGACTGTTGTTTCAATGAAGTAAAAACTTCATCATACACCGAGCACTTTCTAAATCACCTGGTATGATAAGTGCTTGATGTAGAGTTGCCGTCATTAGTATATTACAGTGAAAAACTTGCCTTAATTCTAATACTCGCTGAACAGCATAAAGGGGTGAGATGATTTGATAGTCATGTTTACAAATTGCCTTCCAGCAGTGGGAAGAGAGGCTGCGGGAACAGCGGAGAGCAATTCAGGACAAGAAGAAAACAGCAGGGCGCACCAGTCGTAGTAATCCCCCAAAACCAAAGGGAAAGCCTCCTGCTCCCAAACCAGCCAGCCCCAAGAAGAACATTAAAACTAGGAATGCCCAGAAGAAAACAAACCCGAAAAGAGTGTGAGCTAACTAATTTCCAAAACGAGACTTCCGACTTCCTTACAGGATGAGGCTGGGCATTGCTTGGGACAGCCTATGTAAGGCACCCTTTGCCCTAACAACTCAGTGCAGTGCTCTTCATAGACACATCTTGCAGCATTTTTCTTAATGCTATGCTTCAGTTTTTCTTTGTAAGCCATCACAGGCCATAGTGGTAGGTTTGTCCTTTGGTATAGAAGGTGAGTTAAAGCTGGAGGAAAAGGCTTATTGAATTCAGAGTAACCTGTGTGCATACTCTAGATCTCTGTGTGGGGAAAATAACGCTTTTTACAATTTGACCTAATATGTGCATTGTAAAATAAATGCCATATTTCAAACAAAACATGTATTTTTTTTACACTGTGTTTTATTTCTGTTTGACTTCCGTTGTTACAATGTTAGTGATGTTTTAAAATGTAATCAAAAATATAGTGCTTCTAAGAAGGAAAGGCAGTAGAATGAATGTCTAAAAGATCTTTATGTGTTTATGGTCTGCAGAGGACTTTTGTGATGAAAGGGGATTTTTGGGAAAAATCTAGAGAAGTAGCATATGGAAAATTATGACGTGTCTTTTTTACAATGACTTCTGCTCTCTTTTTAGCTAGAAACTCTAAAAACTAAAATACTAATAAAGAAAAATAAATAAAAAAGAGGCAGACAATGTCTGATTCCTGTTTTCTGGTTACCTGATTTCACGATGATGATGCTTCTTGTAAACATGCTCTTAAGTAGCACTACAAAGAGTCAGTTTGTCTGTACCATTAGGAGTTAGGTACTAATTAGTTGGCTAACACTCAGGTATTTTATACCCACAACAAGAGAGGTATGTCACTCATTTCACTTCCCAGGACATCCACACTGAGAATAATTTGACAAGTATAAAAATGGCCTTCATGTGAGAGTCAAAAACTTGTTTTCTTCACTTAAACATTTTCTTTGCCTAAATATGTGTGAGAGGAGTTAAATATAAATATACAGAGAGGACAGTTGAGGTTTCATCTCTGAAATGAGAATTACTTGACAGTTGGAATATTTTAATCAGAAAAAAAGATCTTATCTGGTAGTATTTTATCAACAAATTTCATGTTTGTGGATAATTGGAGGCATTTATTTAAAAAACAATTTTATTGGCATTTTGGTAACACAGTAAGCATGTATTCTTTATAAGGCATTCGATAAATGCAAAATGTCAAAAGGAAATAAAATCCCATCTAATCCTACTCTCTACTACACAGAGGTAATCACTATTAGTATTTTGGCATATTATTCTCCAAGTGTTTCTCAGGTACTTACAAAATGATTTGAACAAATAAAACTAGGAACCCACTGTACACGTGTTTTATAACCTGCCTCCTTTGCTTGGCCCTTTACTGAGATAAGTTTTCATATCAAGGAAGTGGATACCACCTAATTTCTAAGAGCTGTGCTATATTCCATAGTATGCATTACTCAACAAACCCATGAGCTATTGGGTACTTAGGATGTTTCCTAACTGATCATACTGAGTAAACATCTCAATAGCCAAACATCTGTGCACATCCTTCACTAGTACCTTGGGATACGTTTGTTTAAAAAGCATTGCTGGGCCAAGGAGTATGCTCAGCAAAGAAAATTCTTGATTATGTTGTCAATTATACCCCAGAATGCTTTGACCATCAGTATATGGAAATGCTGACTTTCCAAACCCTCACTAAGATTGTTTCTCCTTCCCCATATTTGCTATAAATTTAAAGTTGGAACTGGTGGCCACTTTGGGCAAACCTCCTCCCTTCATCTGTGAGTCATCAGCTGACAACATTCTTAGCACTTCCTACACTCCCGGCAGCTGGGAAATAGTGATTTGAGCACTTCTAAGTATATAGATAAATGGATGAATGGATAGACAGATGACAGATATATGGATGGATGAATGGATGGATGGATGGATAGATAGATACATAGATAGATTTCTTAACTGCTGGAAAAGCCTATGTGACCTCCATTTTTTCGTGAATCAAATGTAATAACATAACTGGTTAACTACAGGAACTGAAGAATTAGAGTATAGCAGAGCTGCCAATAGATGCTCCCTGCCTAGCCTCCTTTTAAGATATACGAGAAATTACATAAATAGCCTTAGTTCTTACTTTCCAAACCAATGCAGTCTGACCACACTTTTGACTTTTTAAATTATACTTTAAGTTCTAGGGTACGTGTGCAGAACATGCAAGTTTGTTACATAGGTATACATGTGCCATGGTGGTTTGTTGCATCCATCACCCCATCATCTACATTAGGTATTTCTCCTAATGCTATCCCTCCCCTAGCCACTCAACCTCTGACAGGCCCCAGCATGTAATGTTCCCTTCTCTGTGTCCACGTGTTCTCATTGCTCAACACCCACTTATGAGTGAAAACATGCCGTGTTTGGTTTTCTGTTCTTATGTCAGTCTGCTGAGAATGATGCATTCCAGCTTCATCCATATCCCTGCAAAGGACATGAACTCACCCTATTTTATGGCTGCATAGTATTCCATAGTATATATGTGCCACATTTTCTTTTTCCAGTCTATCATTGATAGGCATTTGGGTTGGTTCCAAGTCCTTGCTATTGTGAACCATGCAACAATAAACATATATGTGCATGTGTCTTTATAATAGAATGATTAATAATCCTGTGGGTATACCCAGTAATCAGATTGCTGGGTCAAATGGTATTTCTGTTTCTAGATCCTTGAGGAATCACCACACTGTCTTCCACAATGGTTGAACTGATTTACACTCCCACCAACAGTGTAAAAGTGTTTCTATTTCTCCACATTCTCTCCAGCATCTGTTGTCTCCCAATTTTTTAATGATCACGGTTATCTCAATGTGGTTTTGATTTGCATTTCTCTAATGACCAGTGATGATGAGCTTCTTTTCATATGTTTGTTGGCTGCATAAATGTCTTCTTTTGAGAAAGCGTCTGTTCATATCCTTTGCCCACTTTTTGATGGGGTCATTAATTTTTTTTTTCTTGTAAATTTGTTTAAATTCTTTTTGATTCTGGATATTAGCACTTTGTCAGATGGGTAGATTGAAAAAAAAAAAGAAAAAAAAAACTAGTGGTATCATGCTACCTGACTTCAAACTACATACAAGGCTACAGTAACCAAAACAGCATGGTACTAGTACCAAGACAGAGAAATAGACCAGTGGAACAGAACAGAGGCCTCAGAAATAACACCACACATCTACAACCATCTGATCTTTGACAAACCTAACAAAAACAAGCAGTGGGGAAAGGGTTCCCTATTTAATAAATGGTGTTGGGAAAACTGACTAACCAGATGCAGAAAGCTTAAACTGGATCCCTTCCTTACACCTTATACAAAAATTAACTCCAGATGGATTAAAGACTTAAACATAAGACCTAACACCGTAAAAACCCTAGAAGAAAACCCAGGCAATACCATTCAGGACATAGGAATGGGCAAGGACTTCATGACTAAAACACCAAAAGCACTGGCAACAAAAGCCAAAATAGACAAATGGGATCTAGTTAAACTAAAGAGCTTATGCACAGTGAAAATAGACTTTTAAATGTGGTTCTCCTGTCATGCCAGGGTAGGAGAAGTGTTTGTGACACAATACTTTCCTTCATTATTGAATACTCAAGACCATTAAAAATGTTGTAATAAAAGAGTGCAAGGCATAAATGTTTTCTGTATTTTGTCTAATGATCATGTGTTACTTTTATAATTATCAGACACTTCAGAAATATTATCAGAGATTGATATATATATAGAATGTAGTTTGGTTTAAGGACATTTAGACATGCTAATTTGAAAACTATTCCCTTGATTATATGTGTTTTCCTCTGGGTCCTCAGAGAAGCAATTGCCAAAACAGAATTAAATGTTCAAAATGCCTGTGAGAGAGAATGGTGAGGGATCTGAATAGGGCTGGGAGAGCTGTCAGAACACGATGGATGCCCACCCTGAGTGAAGGGGAGAGAAAAGAGAGAAGAAAGATTAGGTAGAAGCATTCCAGACTGTTACAACGTCTAAGGAAGGTGTGGCGAGGCTATCTGGGAGTCTTGAGCCTGTCATCTGTCAAAGGAGCATCCTGTTGTGCTGTTTCTGAGTGGGAGCGATCCATAGGTAGCGTGGTCTTGCTGCAAATGTGGCAATAAATGTCAGGGTGCAGAATTAGAATACTTGTCAATATGGCCCCTACAATTGGAGGTTGTGATTTACATTCTTACGGTCATCACACTATGACAATCATGAAAATATTAAAATTTGGCCACCTCATTTTTCCAGCACAATCTGTAAGGTAGTGTCAAGCAACAGAATGTCTCTGTCAATTTCTGTAACTGGAAGCCATACACTATTTAATCCCTCAGACTTGGACTTTTATCTTCATGCTTTTTCATGTCTTTTTCTTTTCAGAATTATTGAACAAAGAATATGTTGATCACCACTACAGATCTTATGGTATTTATTCGCTCTGCTACCTGAGAGAAATCTCTTTCTACTGGAATGTAAGAAAATATTTTTAATGAGGTAATTCATGGCAAGAACAAAGCCGTGGTGTGTAATTCTGCCTTTACAGCATAATTCTAATATATTTAGTTATGATATTGGTATGAGAACAATTTTAGAACTAAAACATGCAGCTGCAGTATCTAAATAAGAACAACTTTATAATGGCTAGTATGGCTCACTTTAATGACATGTTATGAAAAGGGAAAACAAATTGTTTATTAACAATTAAATTCAGCTAACAGGGAGAGCTTATAATCAAGGACTATTCCTAAATCTCATAAAATTATAAGAACTTGAATAATATAACAAGGTGCAAAGAACTGAAGTTAAGCCAAAAAATTGTATCATGAATAAAATTTCACCATGGTACCAAAATAAATCTAAAATCACACTGTCGATTCAAACTGATGAATTTTTAAAATTCATTAATATTTTAATGATAATTCTAATAATTCAAAATATTTATTATCTCACTGAAGTATTTCAGCAGCTGAAAATCAGTAGACAATTGCTGAGTCATGTTTCTCCCTTTGTGGAAAGCATAAAATGTCTGGCGTTGGAGGTCATCCAAAGTAGCTTCCAATGGATGAGCAGGTTCAGACAGAGTTCAGATAGGCATCAGTGTCAGGAATCCCTTTCAGTATCCAGAAAGGGCACCAAGACTGTCCAGCTGGAGGGCTACAAATAGAGGAGGGCATATTTTACAAAATCTGTTCATTTTCTATAAGTCATCCAAAGAAAGTGCTGGAGAGCATTAGGCCCAAATCAAGAATGCTTTGAGTGTCCTGTCATGGAACTGGGCAGAATGGACTGAGTGCAGCCATCAAAGAGACTCTGGCTTTAGGGTCAAGGTGCGTGACTGAGTCAGTACTAAAGAATGGGGACTGTTCTGTCTGGGGGAATTCATGCAGACACTGACCTCATCCCAGCAAAGTCATCCTCATGTGTTTGCTGTTGGGATAGAGGTGCTTTCTGCACAGTTGTCCCATTGCCTACTTACTGAGCCCATCCCTGGGCTCAAATTTGAGCCATCTGGGCTCAAATTCAGGGATGGGCTCAGTAAGTAGGCAATGGGACAACTGTGCAGAAAGGAATGGGACACACATCCCCACCTTCATAAGTATCTCATCTGCTGACAGTTCTCAGCCCC